GCCATACTGTCAACTTTAGCTTTTATTTACACTGCACAGAAAAGCACCTGCAGACTCATGCAACATCAAAGTAATTATAAACTGGGGAACTGTAAGCCAATGGTGATTTTCACAACTTAAGTAGCATATTGTCTATAGTAGGTAAAATGTATTATTTGGTTTTTTGTAATACTGAACTTTGATAGGGAAGGATTTTTTTTAAGACCACTTGCTTAATAGAGGTGGCTAAGTATGTTTCCTAAGGCATCTGAAATTCAATCTCTTCACTGGAATCAAGAAATCACTGAGATAACATCACTAATTTCTGTTAATGTAAGACACAGTAGAAGCAGACATCGATAGGAAAAACTAGCCAGGGCAAGTTTCATTTGCTTAGACCAGGAACAATAGCTCTTTATCAGGCTTTTGCAGGCATAGAAATAAAAAGGATCTAGAAGATAAACCTAAACAAATACAAAATCTAGAGGAAGTTCTTAAATCACCTATTGAAAACTCACTAAGGAATTGGACCACACATGTTTTTCAGAAGTAAATGGATTGCCAAAACTTTTCACACTGTTCTCACTGCACATGGGGCCATAGTTTGCATGGTATTATCCATGCATTCTTAAGAATTCAGTGCCTAATTTAGATAAATACATTCTAATTTTGCTATCCTTGATTTTTTTCAAATCAGAGTGAAGATCTGAAAAGAAACGCTGAGAATTTCAGATCTTCTTAAAAGTAAAAATTCAAGCAAATCATCTTACATTCAGGGTTTAAGTTTATTACAAGGTTATCACCTCAAATGGCGGCTAACTTATCTTTTATAATATCCAACTCCTCCATTTTCCCAATGTTTACCAAAATTTTGAAATGAAAGACAATGAACAGAACTCTTTTGTCATAAAAACTGAATAATGTTCAAATGATTCCCAGGCAGTTATGGAAAGGGATAATAGTCATAAGACATTACAGACATTTCCACCTAGTCTATTTCTGTGTTTTGCCATAGTATAACCTGGAACAGCTGGTTACCTCTTTTGAACTTTTGGGATCTTACAGGAATATTCTATAGCACTTTAGAATAACCAGTTCATAATTCTCCTTTTTATCAAAGGCAAGCAGTACCTCTGGAATGGGGCAGGGTCAGGAGAAGAAAAAAAGACAGAAGACTTTCTCTATTCAGCCCCTTGACTCCACCCCACCTCAAACTCCTTTGTGCCTGCTATGATTCATTAACCAGGTCCCCAAGGAAATCCTAGGCATGGGGAGCCTTTTATTAACTACTTAAACTTGGCAGCTATACACCTGAAAATGATAACTTTGAGCTATAAGCTCTTAAGGCAATGGAATCTTCCATTGGCTTTCAGCCATGTATTCGTTCTATGAAATCAGAAAGTCCTACTCTCTGCTCAGTTCTGTGGAAATCATTGGGAATATCAATATGAAAAGAAAAAGAACCTACTTGATCTTTCCCAATAATTTCACTTTTAGAGCAGTTCCATCTCCACGTGACAACACCATACCAGTAGTTCCTCGACGGTAGTACCACCCACTTCTGAGGACCTCTAGGTGTTTCTAAAGAACCTTGGTGGCCAAGGTTTACAGTCATTCAGTGTTTATCATTTCTGTCCCCAATTTTGAGTGATTTTAGTATTAGCATGGATGACCCATACATAACTCTAGCTTCTCCATATCTTAACTTCCTATTCTACTTCCATGAAAATTCACACCTAATTAACTTTGTCACCTACTTAAATGGCTACTTTGGAAATAGTGATCAGCAATATCTCCTTTCTGCATCCAACTTCATGTCTTTCAGTTCCTTCACTAACTCTTATCTTCCTTTGCCTCCAGATCCCTCTACTTCCTAATTGGTAAATTCTACCTAAATTTAAACCTAAATTCTAGCTTTCCCTACCCAACATAACCCTGAAATACAATATTTTAATCTCATTTTACTCAAGTTATCACAACCCTTACCTAGGTGTCATCTGCCTAGTCTAGGACAGCTGCTGACTGCTGGCTACTGCTAGATAAATACTGAACCACTACACTGTGGTACTGTTGTAAAATACTCAGCTGATTGAATTTCCTAATGCTGGTTTTTAACTTAACCTCCCTCTTGTTCTCCACAACGATAAGTTCAGTATCAGCCTTATTACTTTCCAATGTCTACTGTGTCATAGGGATTCTCAAACTCCACAAAGAAAACCTTCGGTTTCATATGGGTTTCCATCCCCTTCCTGATGCCAAGTTTCTTGGTTACCTAGAACCTGCACCGGTCCTTCTCTCTGGCACTCTAATAGCAAAGAAGTGTCTCTTCTTTTTGTCTGGCTCTAGGACACCTGCCCATACCTTGAGCATTTTTATCCTTTCATCTTAAGCCAGTCATTTTCAATTCCTCCATCATCTCTAATGTGCTACAACCTCTCTTTGCTCCCCTTTGTAACTGAAGGTCTCTAAGATCAGGCACGTACCAGCCATCTGTTCTTTGGTTCACTTTTAAGCTGTTCAATGTATTATCTCCACCAAAGTTACTAAGGCTCTCTCTGTTGCTGTATACAATGGGCATTGTCACCACCATCATCTGACCTTAACGGCATGTCCCTTCTTCCTTCCCATGCAGTGGCACTAAACCTCTTAGATTTTCCTACTGAACTCCCAGACATGACTTTATATTCATTTTTTCATGGTTGCTCATTCTCTGTCCTAAATGACCTGTCCCTCCTTCCCCCTCTGTATGTGTGTGTTGCTGTACTATCTTAACCTTTCCATATTTAATTTAAGCAGTAGCTCCATGCTTGTAATTGCTAAATGTTGCTTGTATTGTTCTCCTCCATACTATGCCTTTTACCAAACTCTGGTAGCCAAGCTCATTATTCATAGGGAAGCCCAAGCCAAGAATGCATGAGTCTTCCCTTCCTTGATTTCCCTTCACCCTCCCATCAAACCAATCACTAAGGCTTAGAGAATCTACCTCCTATATATTGAAATGCTCCTCCATTCTTATTCAGGCCACCATATTGCCGGTTTTGATTTTGTAACAGATCTCTTTCCTGTCTGTGGTCCAACCCCTCAATTCATGCTTTGTTTCCCAGCCAGAACGTTTTTTTTTTTTTTTTCTAAGTGAAAATCCAGCCATGGCATCCCCTTGCCAAAATCTCTTGAATGGCTCCCACTGACCTCTAAAGTCTTTAACTTGGATTTTAAAAGCTCTTCACAATCTGCCTCCTGCTCCTCTCTCCAGCCTAATACTTTACAATAGCCCTCCTTGGGATTCTGCACAGTAGCCATGATGAAGTAGTTTGAGTTCCTGAGTACTTTCTGCTCTCTTTAGGCTCCAGGCCTCACAACACAGCCTGCCCTCTCCTTGAAAAGAACACTCTTCTAAGAAGGAGACTGATAGCTGAGAGGCCAGCAAGGGACTTATCCAGACCCCCTGAACATGGGTGTCAGTGAGGAGGCCTCGGAAATCTATGGGGCCTCCGTTAGTAGATCAGTATTTATCCCTGGTGTACAAATAGACTTTGGGAGCCCATTCCACATGGAGGGATGCTCTCTCAGCCTGGACACATTGGGGAAGGCCTAGGCCCTACCTGGGATGATATGATAGACTTTGGAGATCCCCCAGGAAGGACCTCACCCTCCCTGGGGAGCGGAACGGTAAAGGGGTAGGAGGTTGGAGAAATTGGTGGGGGGACAGGGAGGAGGGGAGGGAGAGGGAGCTGGGATTGACATGTGAAGCAAGCTTGTTTCTAATTTAAATTAAGAAAATAAAAATGAAGGAGCTCTACTTGTGAACCTGTATGGCTTAGATAACACAAATTCCCATGAACTTTCTCTGAACTGCACTGCACAAAGCTAGTTGTTCACACGGTGTGCCATTCTTCCACTGCCACAAAACTTAATATTACAATCAAATTATCTATTCACTTGTCCTCAATGCCCAGTCTAAAACGGGAGACAATAATCACTGTTTTCATCAGCCATTGTCATAACTGATGATAACGTTTTATGTACATCTGTCTGTCTTCAGATTTTCACCTATACCTTGGGCATCCCTTGTTACACTCTAAATTCCTTTGTGGTAGTATCTGTGCCTATCTATTTCATGGCTATATCCTTAGTGCATATTGACAAACATTATTGTCCATAATTCATTTCATAGATAAAATAACTATGTAATACTTGGGACATTTTCCAAAGACACAAGATTTTAAAAATTAATCTCGCCCTGGCCTCACCCTTCATCTGCCATATGGTGGTTTGGCCAGGGGAGAGATTCCCCCCTCCCCATCCCCCCACCCTTTATTGCCTGTGATGGGTAGGAGAGATGGCCCCAAGGTCATAAGACCTAGATATCTGTCCCTGCCCCTCACCATCTGCAGCGCTCAGATCTGCCCTTACCTGGGCAATACAGTAGCGCTGGACCTAAAGGTCCAGATATGGGAGAGTTTACCCTGGAGGCATGAAACCAAGGGTTCAACTAGCACGGAAAATGCTTAAGAGCTCACCGTGACTGTGAATACGGGGGAGAGCTGGTGCTGACAATGCCGCAACTACCCAGGCCCAGAACCATGGTTATGTGTTTGGACACCCCAACATCCACCCCATCTGTGATCTGCTGGAGTATATGAAGGGACTGGTCCTTCAGACTCAAAGCTGCAGGATTTCTACAACACAAGCAACAGCGGGATCTCCAAGAGGAGTTCCAGTGAGGGCCCAGCGTTGATAGTGTAGCAGAAAAGATAACTATGAGTGTAAATGCTATTCATTAGAAAATAAAATTTATCAATATCTCATGAGTAAAATAATAGTCATTGAACACTTGCAGAGATAGTTATAACCCAACAAAACAGTCTAGGTAGATACTTAAGCCAAACACTTTAAAGAATGACTTTTATCTGGCAAAATGACCTTGTGACTTAAGGGTGTAAAGTGGTGAAAAATCTCCAGTTCTCATCCTTTAAGCAAAGAAAAATTATCAAGGCCCCCAAATATTGGCTAATACTTACAGCAAAGGGCCTTCTGCAATCTTCGGAGCTTCATGGCAGTTCTATAAGCAGAGAACCTGACATTATTCAGGTCAGCTGGAGAAAAGGGAGGAAAACAAAGATCATTTGTTATTTCATCAGAAAGCACTGAGGAAACCCCTGATGATTTGCCAACAGCTACAAAAATCACAATAATAAGTTAGAAAAAAAAAACAACCTTGTGCTTATGCTTCAAGCTTTAGAAGGTGAGGTTCTGTTCATTGAGGGTTAAGGAAAGAAATCGTTCTGCCCTTTGACAATGAGGAAAGCTTCGTTCTGTGAAGGACTACAGTGGCAAAGCCTGCAGGCCATTCATGCACTGCTAGCTCCCAAGAGGGAAAAGGAGGACAAGAATTGTTTTTCTTTCTAAATTGTAATCTGGATCTGCTGTAGTAAATCTCTGCTGCACAAGATTCAAGAAAATGAAGGAACACATTATTGAAACTGCTATAAGAATGAAATATGCAAAGAGCAGATTCCCATTTTCTCATAGAAAAGGTCATGTGTTTATTGTAGAAAAGATAAGAAACTCCAGAAAGTTATAAAGTTGACTAAATAAATTGTAACAACCCATAACCAAGGAATGTATACTGTTAACATTCTAAGCATGTTTATATAAGATGCATGTGTATGTTTTAAAGTATGTTTGAAAGTAAAATAAATCAACGTTTTTTTAAAAAATTGACTTAAAATGGCATGTGTTTGTCATATAGAATATGATGTCTGATGTATAAGAACACATAATGGCTTGAATAAATTTAAGTAGTTAGCATGCATTAGGAAACATCAGTATTATTTTGTGGTAAGAACACTTAATATCCATCCATCCTCTCTGCATTTTCAAGAAGAAATATATCACTATTAATTACAGCCACAATATAATAGAATAATTTCTTATTTTTTTAAGAATTTCATGTGACTACTAACACCATTTTCATTCCTGGCTTGCTTCCCTCCAACTATTTCCATGTTTTCCCACTAAATTATTTTACATGTCAATCCCAGGTCCCTCTCCCCCCCCCAACTAATGCCCTACCCATCCCATACCCTTTCTGCTCCCTAGGGAGGGTAAGGCCTTCCCTAAGGGGTCTTCAAAGTCTGTCATATTCTTTGGGATAGGCCTAGGCCAATCCCCATGTGCCTAGGCTCAGGGAGTATCCCTTCATGTGGGATGGGCTCATAAGGTCCATTCCTGTGGTAGTGATAAGTACTGATCCACTACAAGAGGCCCCATAGATTTCCAAGGTCTCCTCACTGACACCCACATTCAGGGGGTCTGGATCAGTCCCATGCTGGTTTCCCAGCTATCAGTCTGGGGACCAAGAGTTTTCCCTTGTTCAGGTCAGCTGTTTCTGTGGGTTTCACCAGCCTGGTATGGACCCATTTGCTCATCAGACCTCCTTCTCTGCATCTGAATTACAGTTGAGTTCAAGGTTTAGCTGTGGGTATCTGCTTCTACTTGCACCAGCTGTGGGATGAAGGCTGTACGATGGCATATGAATTAGCCATCAATCTCATTATCAGGAGAGGGCATTTAAGGTCTGCTTTTACTTCCACCACCTGCTGGATGAAGGCTATAATATGTCATCAATCTCATTATCAGGGGAGGGCATTTAAAGTAGCCTCTCTGTTGCTTAGATTGTTAGTTGGTATCATCTATGTAACTCTCCAGACATTTTTCTGGTGCCTGATTTCTCTTTGAACTTATAATGACTCCCTCTATTATATTATCTCTTATCTTGCTCTCTTCTGTTCTTCCCCCAACTCAACCTCCCTGCCCCATCATGTCTTCCTCACCTCTTCTCTTCTTCTCCCTTTCTCACTCTCCTTGTTCCTCTCCCCTCCCCCCATGCTCCCAATTTGCTCAGGAGATCTTGTCCCTTTCCCCTTTTCCAGGGGACCATGTATGTCTCTCTTAGGGTCTTCCCTGTTTACCAGCCTCTCCAGCAGCCTGGGTTGAAGGCTGGCAATCCTTTCCTCTATGTCTAAAATCCACATATGAGTGAGTACATACAATGCCCATAACAGATTTCTTGAACTTATTCTTTCTACATATAATTTTGTAGTCTTGGACCAGCAACTAGCTTCATATTCATTTTATTTTTTTATTATTTAAAAACAATTTTTAAATTTAAATATCTTTTGATCATATTCTTACCCTCTACCTCTCCTCCTCCCTACCCACCCAACGTTAAGGTACAAACAAAAACCCAATACAAGAAACTCCCCCAAAGCCAAGAAAACAAAATAAAACTACAGCCAAAAAGAAAAAAAAAAGAACCATACCAAACTGTAACCAAATAAAAGCACCAAAAGAAAAAACAAAACTGTGGAGTCAGTTATATGGCTCAACTATTCCCAAACACATGGCCTGTCCCAGAGTTTGAGTGGTTGGTATATCCAGTGTCACTCCATTGTAGAAAACTGATTTTTCCTTTCCCGGCAAGTATAAGTGACAGTTCAGTTGTTAACCTTTCTGATAGTGGCTAGGTTTTCATTCATTCATTTTTTAAGAAATATAACAAAATCAAATATAATAAGATAAAACAAAATCACATCAAAGTTGGACATGACAAACCAACAAAAGGAAAAGAGCCTAAGGCACAAGAACCAGAGACCCACTCATTTGCACACTCAGGAATCCCATAAAAATGCTAATCTGGAAGCCATATTTTATACTAAGAGAACCTGGTATAGAGCTGTGAGGGCCCTGGCATGCTGCTTCACTGTGAGTTCATAGGAGCTTTGTTCGGTTGATCCAGAGGGCTGTGTTCTCCTATGACCTCCACCTCCTCTGACTCTTTCACTCTTTCTGCCTTCCCTTCTAAGGGGTTTCCTGAGCTCTGTCTATCTCCATCTCTCTCTATCTCTGCATAATGTTTAGTTATGGGTCTCTGTATTTGTTCCCATCTGTTGCAGGAGGAAGTTTCTCTGACAATTAGCTTTATAGCCTAAGGTGAAATTCCCATATTCAGCATGGAGTAACAATTCAACGATTTAGCCTACTGTTTCCTAGAGCCATCTGTCTGTAAGTTCCTAAAAGTCAAGCCATCTAACAGGAGTCTATATTCGGACAGTGCCCTTATTCAAGTCTGCACAAGCCTTAATAATAGCTACATTTCTTTCCTAGAGTTTCTATGTATATATGTTTCAGAAATTCAGCTCCAAAAAAGCTCCTTGAAGTGAAGAGTTTAGCCACCAATCCTATTTCTTAGCAACTTAATATACAACTGCTCTCTGAAAAAAATGCGTCTAATACAGCCAGAGAACTGACTGACAAACTGAATGAGTAAATGAACAAAAGGAAGACAACCTAACTGCCACAGACAAATGATACCCATAACACTAATCCTAACGTTAGGAAAGAGTAATATTTTAATCTGTATCTAAGTCCTCTGAATCAGCACTATCAACATTGTGGTCTTTGCAGAAACCTATCATAAAGGCCTACATTTAAATTAGAGGGAAGAAAAGAAAGTCTATAAGTTATTTTAATTATTCAACATAATTTATTTAAAGACTGGCAATAACAAATAATGGAATACTATGTAACCACCAGAAAGCTTACGGTGTTGGTAGGAAAATAAAACAGTACAACTTTGGAAAGTTCTATGAGCAGTTTCTTTCTTTTTTTTTTCTTGTATCTTTAAAGATTTATTTATTTTTATTTAATGTGTATCAGTGTCTTTCATACATGTATGTCTATATATCCTATGTGTGTTTTCTGCATACAGAGACCATAATAGGGTGTCAGATCCCCTAAAACTGGAGTTATGGGTGGTTGTGAGCCACCATGTAGGTGCTGAAAACTGAACCTGAGTCATCCACAAACGCAGCAAATGCTCTTAAACTCTGAGCCATCTCTCTAGCCCCGATTAGGAGCTTCTTATGAAATTAAATATTCACATATCTTATGACCCCACACATAAATATTTACAAGAATAGGAATAAAAATACATGTTCACAAAAAGCCTGGAACATGAATGTCCACAGATTTACTCATAACATCCCAAAATGGAAACAAAGCTATTGAATAACAAATAAACAACCGGTGGTAGTCATACAATAGATACTCACATACAATATTAGGAAAATGATTACTGAGACTTTAACAAAAAATCAATCTAAAAACCATGCAACTGTCTTTTACATCTAATTGACATAAATAAGTTCCATAAGATTATAAAACATGCTTCAGGGCGGTGGTGGCACACGCCTTTAATAGTAGCACTCAGGAGGCAGAGGCAGGTGGATCTCTGTGAGTTCGAGACCAGCCAGGTCTACAAGAGCTAGTTCCAGGTCAGCCTCCAAAGCCACAGAGAAACCGTGTCTCGAAAAAACCAAAAAAAAAAAAAAAAAAAAAAAGATTATAAAACATGCTAAACCTACCTATGGACAAATGGTAACCTACCATAGTGTGGAAGTGGAAAATTTTACTCAAAGGAACCAAGAGATATGATCTAGGTGATTACAGTATTATTGTGATAGCTGTAGTGGTTACATGACTCTATGCTGGCCAAAACTGTATACTTAAAATGGAAGTGTTTTATGATGTTTAAATTATGCTTTAATATTGTCAATTTTAAGAGTAAAAAGAACACTTTCATGTAGACAGTAGAACATGATGTATGAGTATGTTAGTTTAAGCTACACTGTAGAGGCGGTCAGTTGTCTTAATCAGGAATGCATACTCCAGGGGTGGCTGGCTAGCAATTAATCAAAAAGCCTCACTCGAGAGGCGGCCACCGTAAAGGGCTGCAGCTATATTTAGCTCCTATTACACTGGGGATTTCATTAATTATCATAATTAATGTTAGATGGGATAGTGTTGTTCATATTAGTGATAAGCAAAATATGAACACTGTTGAAGAAGATTTAGAAACATTACCTGCTACTATATAAACAGGATGAAAGACCATTCTAGCAGATCCTACATTGTTAGAAATGGTATTCTAAGCTGAACTCAACACTGTTTAACTAAGGCCCAATGGATTCTTGGTCGGCTGACAGAGTCCTTACTATGAGATCAATGTTTTTCAAAATTTGAATGCACTTGG